GCTCTGATGCTCTTTCTACTTTCTGTGTCTGTTCCAGTTTCAGGGCTGTTGCTCAATCAAGGTAAGATCATTTTGCTTGAGGATATCCACTTGTTCTTCCCATCTGGAATGTTCTCCCTTTGGATTCTCACACAGTGAGATCTTCCATGTTACCCAGGCCTCTGCTGTGCCCTTCCCTGGGAGATCACCCTAGACAATGCGACCTGAAATAGCCTCCTCCTTCACTTTCTATTCCAATCTCCAACATGATTCTTCTTCATAGCATTCGCTGTTAACTGAAATTACATTATCTGTTCATTCATTTGCTCTCTATCTTCTCTCCTATAATGGAAGCTACATGAGCTTAGGATAATGCCTAACACAGTGAAGATGCTTCATAAACATATAATGAATTAATATTACTTTTATGATTTTTTTAAACTTAACCATATATGCAACTATTACATTGTAAATAAGTTATACCCATGGAGAAATAATAAAAGAGAACAGTGAGCCAATCATGGTGGCACATGCTTGTAATCCTAGCACTTGGGAGATGGAGGCAGGACGATCACTTCAAGTTCAGGCCAGCCTGGATTCATAGTGAGTTCAAAACCAGCATGAAAAAACTTACTTTAATAAAAAATAAGGGGCTGGTGAGATGGCTCAGTAGTCTAAAGCACCTACTTAGAACAAGCTTAGCAAAGACCGCGGTTCAATCCCCCAGCACCACAAGCCAGCCAGCCCCGCTCCCTGGTGGGCTGAGCTGGACACGGACACACACACACACACACACACACACACACACACACTAAATAAATTAAAATTAAAAAAAATTTTTTAAAAACATATAAAAATACTTTCTTTAAAAAAAAAAAAAAGACCAGCATGAATTACATAGCAAGATCCTGTCTCAAAAAAAAGTGAGCCAGAGATGCATCTCAGTCATAAAGCACTTGTCCAGCATACACAAGGTCCTGGGTTCAATCCTCCGTACAATACAAAAAAAAAAAAAAAAAAAATGTAAGTACTTGTAATTTTTTTTGAGGGGAGGGTTCAGTACTGAGCCAGGCCTTTCACATTGTGCTACATACTTAGCCCTTCTTTTTTTTTTTAAATTTTATTTTTATTTTTATTTTTATTTTTTGGCATTTTAGGACAAAGTATACAGGGTCTCACTATGTAGACTGGACTCGTAATGATCCTCCTGTTTACAGCCCCCCAAGTGCTGGGATTACAGGCATACCCAACTAAACCCAGTCTCAGCGTGCCCTGGGGGCAGGGCCCACACAGCAGGCCTAAAATCAAACTCCCACCCCCTGCATCACTCGGCTCTTTTTAAACTTTTTACTTTGAGCCAGGGTATCACTAAATTGCCCAGGCTGGGCTCAACCTTGAGATTCTCCTGCCTCAGCCTCAGTCTTTCTGGCTACTGGGATTACAGTTATGCTCACTGTACCCAGCTTCTTAAAATTTGCATTATCTTAATGTTATGTTGTTGCTTCAATAAAAAACAATGGCCAGCAGGGAGTAGTGGCACAGGCCTGTAGTCCCAGAACTCAGGAGGCTGAGGCAGGAGAATCGATGCAAATTCAAGACCATCCTGGGCTACAAAGTGAGTTCAAGGCCAGCCTAAACTGCACAGTGAGACCCTGTCTCAAAACAGACAGGAAAAAAAAAAAAAAAAGGTTAGTCATGGGGGCACATGCCCATAATCTGAGCACTCAGGAGGCTGAGGCAAGAAGATAGCTACTAGTTTATGAGCAGTAGGCTATATGGTGAGTTCAAGGTCAGCCTGAAGTACATACATAGTGAGACCTGTGTCAAAGAAAAACAAACCAAGTTGAGTATGGTGGCATATGCCTCTAATCCTAGCAGTCAGGAGGCTGAGACAAGAAGAACAAGCCCAACCTGCATTATAACACAAGACACTGTCTCAAAAAATAAAAACAGGGCCAGCAAGATAGCTCAGGGGACTAAAGCACCTGCTTAGGCAAGCTTAGGCAAAAGTGAAGAGTCTAGCATCACATGCTGTGCCAGCCCTGCCCCCAGGGTGGGCTGAGCCAGACAGAATCCGGGGTGTGGTGGCACACACCTGTAATCCCAATGCTGGGGAGGCTGAAAGCAGGAGGATCGCCACAAGTCCGAGCTGCATGGTGAAACCTGTACAACCAAGAACATTAAAAAAAAAACTAGACCAAAAACAAAATGTTGGAACCTAGTCTGACCAATTTAGTAATTTAGTGAGATCCTATTTTAAAATGTAAAGTAACGCTCTTTGGTTTCGGCGGCACAAGCAAGATGACGAAGGGAATATCATCCTTTGGAAAGCAGCGTAATAAGACACACACATTGTGCTGCCGCTGTGGCTCTAAGGCCTACCACCTTCAGAAATCGACTTGTGGCAAATGTGGCTATCCCGCCAAGTACAAAAGAAAGTATAACTGGAGTGCAAAGGCTAAAAGGCAAAATACCTCCGGAACCGGTCGAATACACCTAAAAATTGTATATTGTAGATTCAGGCATGGCTTCCGCGAAGGAACGACACCTAAACCCAAGAGAGCAGCAGTTGCAGCGTCCAGTTCATCTTGAGAATTCCAGCAATCACTCAAAATAAATGCTTTGGTTTTAAAAAATAAAATAAAAAAAAGTAAAGTAAAGTAACAAAAGGGCTTAGGATGTAACTCAGTGAAAAGGACCTGGGTTCAACCCTTAATATCACAAGAAAGTACCAGGTTTTATGTCCTACATGAAAGATGAATGAGGATCTGTCAGTCCTGAGGAGTCGCTACCCTACGCATGGGCTCCTGGTGCCTGGGGGCTGGCCTGGGACCATTAACTAGGCGCCAGTACTCTCCTCTTGAAGACGACAGCAACAGCAGACAGAGCCACGTTCTGACCATGATGGATTAGGACATAAATACACCACTCCATAATGTTACCTGGACAGAAACACAACATGGACATGTTCCAAACCATAAAATACTAAACACCCTCTTTCCCATCTAATGATGGGAAACTATTGCTTCTTTTCCAATTTTAGGTTTGGCCCCACTTTACTCTGTTCTCCCAAGAGGTAAGATTTATAAAAATGGTGAATCACAAAATTGTCCATTTCCTGACAGCATATAATCCACAGCAACATCTTAATTCCCTCAATACTTTCCAAAATCCTGAGCACAAGCCCAAACTTTGTCACAAGTCCTTCCAACAATGTCTCCCTCAGATGCCCCTTTGTTCCTGATGGGCTGCACTTTACACTGCTGAAATACACTGTTAGCCCCACTTGTTTGACTACTGCTGTGCTCCCAGTTGACTCTGCCTAGAAGGTGTGACACGAGGGCCACGACAGGCCACCGTCACTGTACATGCAGAAATCACAGAAGGCAGCTGGAAAGCTGACCCCAGGATATACTATCCGTGCTGGTTTCTCTGAACAGACAGCAGCTGATTTGCTTGGCATCTGCCTTTTTTCCTAAAGGCTAGATGAGAGGGGAAGAAGGCCTAGTTAATGCAATATCCCAGCAAATAACATCACAACTAATCCCAGATGCCCCGCACGGCTTCCCTTCCCTCCCGTTTCTGAAAGTTGCCCTGAGCACAGGTTTAGAGCAGTGCTGGAGGACTGACTCATGGGCAGAGCCTGAGGCAACACCACTCAAGTACTTTAAGCCACATGTTCAAGCCCAATAAATTAGCCCAGGCTTAAAGAAGTCAAGCTGTACACATGTAAGAATTTTAATAAGCTTGGAAAATGCTACCTAGAGCTTATACACAAGCTTACTGTACCAATGGGATTCCCTGCCACCAGCCACAGAGTGCTAAGCCCCTAACAAGAGCTGTCGAGCACGTGGGGCAGCAGGGACAAGAAGGCTGCTAGGTGCAGGTTTCCTCAGGAGTTGGGGACTCAGCAGATGGCTGGCAGCCAGATGGAGGGAGAACAGAATAGGGCAGGCAGCTCCGTGGAGCCAATGGCATTTACTAGGAAAACATGTGGAGGGTTTCTTTGGTGGCAACACCATCCTCACACACCCTTGTAGAAACTAGCAAACACTGTCATCAATGTCAGCATTTATCAAATGCCTGTATCCACAACTCTGTTATATACAATAGAGAGTTCTTTAAGCAAACACGATCTCTGACTTCTAGATGCTTACACCTAATATAAATAAAAACAATAAATCTGTCCGAAGGATTATGAAACTGAACAAACATGAAATAATCAAAAGCACTGTACCTTATATAATGCAGGGGAGTGATCACTGAAGGAAAAGTCATGGGAGATGACTCTCTAAGCAGGGTGGGACGAAGCGCAACAGCTACCTTGGAAAGCTAAGTCTCCAAGGGAGAGGTCACGTTTTAAAAAAAGCTTCCATTACTGGCTACTGGGCTTGGGCAAATTCACTGATTAGGAAAGAGGAAGTTGGGAGCAGCTTCAGAGGTGATTCAGAAGCACAAATACAACTACAGAAGGAAAAACAAAAACCTTACAAACTGCCCAGGAAAAGTAGAGGAAATCATCACACCAGTATACGTTTCTGAATTGTTTTTTTTATTCATGTCCCCTTCTCACATCCTTTTACTATACGTTATAGGTCCAAGAGTAACTATCATAGCCAACATCAAATCAAAACTACAGTAGTTTCAGAATCTGACTTTCCAAATAGCACAAATCATCCCTTACCCCAAGCCTGAGAATTGCTCAGGTGGGCTGTAGCAATTATCAACAAAAAGCCTTTTTTTGGGAGAGAGGGAGGGAGGGAGGTTATCCCACTGTAGTTCAGTCTGGCCTTGAACTCACTATTTAACCCAGGATGACCTCAAACACAGTTATCATCCAGCCTCAGCCTCCCAAGTTCTGGAATTATAGGCTTGTGGCACCACACCCAGAACTTCACTGAATCCTTCAAGAAGGGAGGATGCAGACCCTGGGTCCACATGGGACAAGACAACCACCAGTATCAGAAAGTTGAAGGAGGTAAAAATAAATCATAGCACTAGCAAAAATTTATAATACTTACCTGATTAAAATTTTTGAAGGCAAATTCTTTGTAGATGGCATCTCTCTCATTTAACTCTGACCATCCTGCTTTTTTAAGGTCAAGTAGAATCTGGTTCCTCTCTTCTGTCTGCAACAGCTGAGAATCTGAGGACTGAAGAGAACACATTTCAGATGTGAAAACAGGAAGAACTCTAAATATGCAAGCAAAAAATAAACTTACAGTTCTTTACCTTAAGAACAAATGCAAAAAAAGTCTCAAGACAACAAATTCTAATAAATTTTTTGTTCTCAAAATATAGACAAAAATAAGGGTAGCTCTATCCAAAGCCAGCTGCCTCCATGACATCTTATCTCCACAGCCCTTACTGCTGCCTTGAACTTCAGAGTTCAGCAACTCTACAGATACAGTTGGGTTTCACCGTTACTTCTGGACGTCTTAGACGTTTCACAGAATTCCAGGACTTTGGAAACTGAAGTGAGAACATGCACCCACAGAAACTCTGCAAGTCCACTGGCAAGAAAGTTCTGTATGGCTTATCCCATAAAAGGAGGGAGGAGCCAGGGAGATAGCTCAGTAGAGTAAGTGCTTGCCTGGCAAGTGCAAGGTCCTGAGTTCAATCCCCGTAAAAAATGCTGGCAAGCCAGTTTTTCTTCCTTGTAATTCAGGGTTCTGAACTCCCATCCCACTGCTTTTTGGATGGTTTCTCATAACCTTGGCAGCCATCACTGTCCTACCGATACACATTTTCAATATTTGGGATTACTCTCCCCTTTAACATTTGACAAAAGCTGATGCCCAGAGGGGAAAACACAAACATACATTTATGTTGGATTTTGTATAACTTCTAGGGATCCAGACTCTCTACTATAGGTAAAAAGCCCTTGCCTTCTAAGTTCATGCAATTCTTTCCTCAGAACTGCAGTAAGACCAACTCCTTCCTCGGCTGGCCAGAGGACTATCCAACCGAAAGCACCTGCGTGCACACTCCACACTGTTTCCACTACTGATGACAATATTCAAAAGCCAAGATCCTTTTGGTTAACAGACCCCACTTCCCATGACATTTCCCCTATAAAATAAAAATTTTAAATGCCATGACCAGAGAAAAGAGACATTCCACTAAAAATTTGTAAAGTGTTGATCAATCCCTCCTGTCCTACCTTTACAGATTATTACAGGCTCAAGTGAAAGAGAACCCCACTAAGAAGTACTGAACTCATGTTGAGGGTTCCTCAGCAAAGGAAACTGGGCTAAGCTGAATGAAGCTGTACCTATTTTTCTTCTAGAATCCTAAATCCCTTACCAGAGACACTACTATAGTTCAGAGGATAAAACTTTTACCTTTAAGTAACTTAATATAGAGGAAAAAGGATGCTAAGAAACTAATTTTCTACTTTTTCTTCTTTGCCAGGTGTTTTTATTACTTTTCTCTCATTGCTGAGGCAAAATACCCAACACCCAAAGTTAAGGAAGGAAAGGTTTATTTAGCTCACGGTTTGTGGAGGTTTCAGTCTATAACCAATTGGCTCCACAGCAGAGTGGCACATGGCAGATTTGATTGACACCTTACAAATTATGCCAGAGTGTCATTTCTCTGGTCATGGCATTTAGGATTTTATTTTGAATTTATAGAAGAAATGGCATGGGAAGCGGAGTCTGTCAACCAAAAGGATCTTGGCGGTTCATGTGGTAGAAGACAGCAAAAGAATCAAGGGAAAGGGAGGAGGAAAGTGGGAGAAGACACTTGCTGTCCCTTATACTGCATGCAGGCTGCCCACCCTAGGTGGATGTAGCACTGACGCCATAATCCCAGCAGCAGCCACTGAACCAATCACATACTAGCTGATGCTTCTGGGGGACATCCAGATACAAATCATACCAGGTGAGCTGCTCTTCTCACACAACAAAGGGGGAATATAGGAATATTTCTTAAACAAAAACAATTAAATGCAGCCAAGTGTTATGGCACACAACTGTAATCCCAATGTGGAAAGGCTGAGGTAGGAGGACAGCAAATTGGAATCCAGCCTCTAGGCAATTTAGTGACTTGGCCAGGCCGTGTCTGAGAATGAAAAATCAGAAGTGGGGTGGGGCTGGGGATATAGCCGAGACTGAAGCCCTGGGTTCAATCCCCAGTGCCACAAAGAAGAAATAAAAAAGAGCTATTCGTTAATCTTACAATGACAGTTCTGAAAAAATTCACAAGTCTACTATAGGAAATGATTTAACATGTCTTCTAAGCATGTAATTATTTCGTTAGCTCAGGTAATTTCAAAGAAATTGATTAAGTATGCTGTTTGCTATGCAGAAGTCCCCCTGGAAGTTGTGGCATGTAATGGAAGCCATCAGCGATCTGCGCTGTGGCTTATCACAGAGGGACCATGTCCACAAATGAAGTGGGCCATTCCATTTACATGATACCAAGGGCCCCCTTGAGGGTACACCCTCAGCAGAAGCCTTGGTGGGGCCATAATTTTGTTCCCTCAAGGGAGCTGAGGGAGAGAAAAGCACAGAGTCTGGAAAGAGTGCTGCAGTCTTGATTCCCGGGCCAGTTTTTGTTTCGCTTCAAGATGCTGATTCTTGGCCTCGCTGAATTTCAATACCCTTGTTTCTGTCTATAAATGTGGACATTACACTATCTACCTGTTAAGATTTTTTTTTTGAACGGTTTAAAATGATCTTGAATGCAAAGGCATCCGGTAGAGGTTCTGAAATGTGGCAGCGATTCCAGTCCTTTCTGTTTATTCCTTCCTTCCACCTCACCGTAACTGTACTCCATCACAGGCACCAGGCAGAACTATCCCTAGAGACGCGCCTTGGTGACCAAACGCACTGGCACTCTTTTTCTTTCACTCTTTCTGTGTGTTTTTTGTTTGTTTTGTTTACATTCTCTCTTTCGGAGCTACCAAACACAGTACTTCTCTTCTCCCACCATCGGACTACTTTATATCTCTTCCACTGAAGAAATTTCAAATAGGTTAACAACCAACTAAAGGAAAGGAAACGGTGAGTCTAACGCAATATTTGTCCACTAGATGGTGCTACATGTTAACCTTCCCTTCAAGTTGGCTGACTCCAAAATATTATCTGAAGTAGGAAAATTAACTGAAC